CTCTTTGATTCAGCCATTGACAGACCTCCTTCGAGGGAATAACAAGTCCATAGAACTTGACGCGTCTGCTCGAAATGCTTTTACCCAGATTAAAAAAGCTATTGCGAATGCCACACTTCTGATGTATCAGGATCCAACGGCACCGTTAAGTATCTCGGTTGATGCATCAAACACTGCAATCGGCGCAGTTCTACAACAGCTAGTTGACAATGAGTGGCAACCACTCGCCTTTTTCTCCCGGCGCCTTCAATTAGCTGAAACGAAGTACAGCACATTCGGCAGAGAACTTCTGGCTATGTACTGTGCTATACGACATTTTAGACATTCGGTAGAGGGTCGTGAATTCATAATTTTTACTGATCACAAACCTCTGACGTACTCTCTGAACTCACCTTCAGATAAGTATTCACCTAGGGAATCACGACAACTGGATTACGTTTCACAGTTTACATCAGATATTCGCCATGTATCCGGAGTAAACAACACTGTGGCAGATGCCTTGTCGCGCGTTTGTTCCCTCACCCAAATCGACGGCATAGACCTTATAAAACTGGCTCGTCTTCAAAAAGAAGATACCGAGCTTCAACATGAGTTGTCGAAAACAACTCTACAATTAGCTGAGAAACCCTTAGGTATGGGAAGAGATACTATTCTATGCGACATTTCCACGAGTACTCCTCGCCCCATCGTGCCTAAAAGTTATCGCCGTAACGTCTTCAATACGTTGCATGGCTTATCTCACCCAGGTATTCGAACTACTGTCAAGCTCGTAACTAGTCGGTTTTGTTGGCCTGGCATTAATAAAGAAGTAAGGGAATGGGCACACACGTGCTTAGCTTGTCAAAAGTGCAAGGTGATAAGACACACCAAAAGCCCACTTGGCACCTTTCTTCTCCCTGACGCTCGTTTCGAACACGTCCATATAGATTTGGTTGGACCCCTTCCTGAATCACATGGATATGCCTTTATTTTAACTTGCATCGATTGATCCACACGATGGCCGGAAGCAGTACCCATCAAGGACGTATCTGCTGAAACAGTCGCACGCGTCTTCGTAGAAAGATGGATCGCTAACTTTGGATGCCCATCTTCCATAACAACTGATCGCGGGCGGCAATTCGAAAGTGGCTTATTCTTCGCCCTGACTAAAATCATAGGTTGCATGCGTTTTCGAACCAAGCCTACCATCCTCAAGCTAATGGTATGGTAGAACGTCTACACAGACAGCTGAAAGCTGGTCTGTCAGCTGCAAACAACACCCATTGGACTGAATCCCTTCCGTTAGTTCTCCTAGGGATACGAAACGCCTTGAAAACCGATGCTGGTTGTACTAGCGCCGAGCTAGTATATGGCACGACACTACGACTGCCTGGTGAATTTTTTTCTCCCTCGAGCTTCCCACCAGTGGTAGATCACGCTTCATACGTCAGCAGGCTTACAAACGCAATGCGTTCAGTTAAACCTGCTCCCCTTCGTCCACAGTCCATTGATGTTTTCGTTCATCCGTGTTTGAAAACTTCTTCACTATGTGCGCAGACCCCTGGAACCTCCATACGATGGACCTTATAAAGTAATTAAACGTTCTGATAAATTCTTTGTCTTGGACAAAAAAGGCCGCGAGGACACCGTCAGCATTGACCGTCTGAAACCGGCTTACTTGGAGGGTAATCCTATTAGCATAGAGCTGAACGTACCCCAAAATCCACAAGTAACAGAAGATCGTTTAGACATCGATGAAGTCCCTAGCACAGCGACAGCTACCGAACCTTCTATCGAGCCTCCCAAGAAAACCCGTTCTGGACGCACCGTAAGGTTCCCAGAATATCTGCACACTTATTTGACTTAACGAAGTCGTGTGATTCACGCAACTCATTCGTTTGTGGTACTAACTATTTTTTTGACGTATCAACTTTTTTATATACAGTACCACCGAACACAAAATTTTTTTCAACAGTTCATGTAACATACACAAAAAAAATTAATTAGATGTAATTTTTTTCGATGTTCTGAACTTAGCATTATTTTACTGTATAGTAAATGCACATCATTTTTTTTAACCAAAAAGCTGATTTGGTACATTTTCCTCGACATGGTTCTTAGCGTTCTTGTTTTCTTTTCCAGGTGCGACGGGCACTGGACAGGAAACAAACGAAGCACGGAATCCAACGAACAACAACAAGGAAGCTATGTACAAACACCCTATTAGCATAGGCAGACAAACCAGTAGGCATACCACCAAGCCGCTCGGAAGATTTTTTCACCCGAAAGGGAACCATCGAGTTTTTTTACTTCCGGCTGGTTCTGTCTTAGGGTCCTCACGACCCCACTAGGGGGGGAGTGAGCTGTAGCGGTAAATAATTCCCCAAAATTATTGACCACAGCAATCACTCATTGGATGCTGACCACCACTGTTTAAGTCGACTTGTTTAGCTGAAGGCTTCCGGTCAAGCATCCCCGCCATATGGTACCCCGTCGTGTCACGTGCACGATCACTAGCTAGCTAAGCGTTCTTCTGAAGGCTTGTTTTGGTCCGTCAACTCTAAAGGCTATATAATGTTTGAAATTACCTCAACTCGGATGACAAACTGGCCAATCCCAAGCGAGTAAATCACTTGTTTATCTCATTCGTGGACACTCAAAATTACGGCCGTCGATAGGCTGCCCCATAAAATTGCTCGGATTCAACACTTGTGGTTGCTGTGCAAGATATGCATCCAAAAACGCTAACGAAATACATATTGCGTGAACAGTTAAGATTACTTGCATCATGACTGTCTTATTCAGTTGTACGAAACTCACCTGTGACCAAATCTAGAAGTTGAAAATATCACTGTGTCACAATTGCAGAAGAGATAAGCATATCATAGAGTTAAAAGGACGTCCACAAATACTGTCATCGAGGCGAAATATCAAAAATGCACTGCTGTGTACGACAACTGAATGTGAATGAGCTACTGCCCCGGTGTACATCATACATTCTGCCTTCTAAATACACTGAGAGTTCCGTTATGTATTATAAGTACTGTTTTCAGAATAAAGTAGATTATTATTATTATTAATGTACCACCTTAAACTGCATTCACCAAAACTGTAGTAATGGAGGGAGTATTCTGTACGAAAGTCCAAATAAGATATAGAACCATTTTAAAAATCAAGAAGTGAGATTCAAGAAAACATTCACATGGTTATTAAAGGGCATTAGATGTTGAACGATGATGACATTTGACCTTGGGGGATTAGTGACCTCGAGGGAGCCCATGGGTCGGTATGCGGTTTTTCTTATGTTGTGAGACGTATTGTGATTAACCTCCTCAGTCTGCTACCCTATAAGTCTTATCGCAGAAGGTTTAGTGAGCTTGGTTTAAGGGATGTATAAATTTTGATAATAATCACATTGCGATAAATTATCCTGCTTAAATCTCAATGTGATAATGATCATTGGATCTATCCAAAATTCTAAGCATTACATTGCGGATGCGGCCGCATGAGAACATTTCAAGAAGACGAATGAAACCTAGATACTATCGACCGTTTATATTTGTTTATAGGGGAATAAGGAAAGTTGGAATTGCTTCCTGTGATTATAGCATTTTCGCTACAAGTATGGGATTTTCAGCATGTGATATCGGTAGCTCAGATTTTGCAGGCGGACCATAGATTTCAGGTGTGCGTCAGCAGAAAATCGAACCCCGGACCATGTTCATGGTCGGCGAGAGTCCTAACCACTGTGTTACCGACGCACATATTCCATTTGTACGTGCATCTGAGCGCATTGCATAATCTTTGCGGCAAGCTTCGGGAGCACTGCAGAGTCGAGTGACTAACTACACCAGCCCAAAACGAAAATACCTCTAGTGACCAATCAGATGTGTCAGAAGTAGGAGTGAGTAATATAGAATAAACGTCTCTATACAAGTAATGGAATGTTAAAAGTGGTTATATAGGATAGTATTCTTGTATATGCTCCAAGAAAATCTGCAAATTTCTCGCAGGAGTTCTCATAGACAGGTTAAACCAGTTTCTGTACATAAATTCGTCAAGGTCAATCCGTTGTTTGGGTGGTTTCGTTTCGGGCTGCTATAATTTTGAGTCACCCAGCATCGTTGGGCAGACTGCAGATCTCTGTCTCACACTCTGCAATGCACCCGAAGATTTCCCCCCAACGATTATGTCATGTGCCCGAAGAAAAAACCAGCTGGGACTTACTAATCATAAATATAAATCTTATATGTCCTAACTAACATTTGTTCAGTTGTCCTCTAACAAACACTTGTTTTCTAGTGTAGTGTCACTAAGTGTGCTATGTGTATAAGATTCCGCGGAAAGTAGCAGCTTCAACTGATGTGCATCTATGTAAAGATCTTTATTGATTCTTCAGTCACTGACTTTTATTTTCTTGCTAAAGTTATTGACCAGAGAACTTATGAGATTTAAAAAGTTATTCGGTGTTTTACTCTTATTTCGGTGGATAAACACTAATATGTATTGGAAACTAGTCAGTGGTCATTGCTCTTTCGTATTGTTTGCTTTATAGGAATTCAGGAGTCTAAAAAGCCACTATCAATTCACATACACTTTTAAATCCTAAACACTTCATTAATCCAACTTCAAAACATTGCCCGATTCGCCTTCATTTAGTTATCTTTGTGGATGAAAGGAAAAGGGCATTGTGAAGAACACAAGGCGGAGTTACTATTCTGTTTACTGCGTAGCTCTTGTTGCACAGAAGTAAGTTGGAATAAGTCTTTGGTTTATCTTTTAGAAAAAACTTACTCCACGTCAGTGTTTAGAACCAGAAAACTTTCCTAGCGAGTGCGCACTTGCCAGACGTGCTTTTCACTTGTGTTGCATTGAACCAGTATGTATACACATTTTGCTTTAATAGTTTTTTTAGGTAGACAAAAAAGCTAGACTACGTGGTTTCAGATACAGCTCAGTGAATTAAAACTTTTGGATGTCAAAAACTTGTCTATAACTGGTATACTACTACATTTGCATAAATGGCTACTGCGTTTGTTACTGTTGGTACAACTTCATTCGATAAATTGATTAATGAAGTTAATAAGACCAAATTTTATGAAGGTCTTACGCGATTGGGTTATAAGAATTTGATTATACAGTATGGAAATGGTTCCATTATACCTCATACTTCTGAAGAAGGTTCTGTCGAAAACTTACACATTGAAGCTTTTCGATACAAGGATTCTCTCAAAGCCGAATTTGCCAATGCTTCTCTAGTTATTAGTCATGGAGGTGCTGGTGTTTGTTTACAAGCCCTTACTCCAATTGGAAGTCGTCGACTAATCATAGTTATAAATGATTCGTTAATGGGTAATCATCAAGAAGAGCTTGCGCTTACTCTATTGCGAGGGAAGCATGCTCTAGTTTGTACTCCTTCATCGCTTAATCAACTGATTTGGACAGGAGTTGAGTCTATATATCCTTCTAAATTAACATGCGACAGAGTAAGTCCACTTGTAACGGCATTTTAATTCTTTAGTTTATTAAAAACGCCTGTTTAAAAGCTTTGGAGATAGGAAACTGTGTGAAGAAATATTTACTTTTCAACTAAATTCTTTACAGTAGATTTCTTTAAACAAATGTAGCATTTTTAGTAGAATATGTAATTTACCAATCTGGTGATGGTAAGTTTTCCAACACTAATTAATCAGCATCAGTATGTCAAATAGGTGGTAATTAAGCCAGGAAAATTATTGCAACTATTAAGGGGTATAAATATTTGCAACCAGACCTACTTCATATCATATGAATAGTGATTAACTACTTAACTCCACCTCCTTCATGTGCACCTACCAGTTTGACTGTTTCTGACGAACAAGTTGTATAAGAAATACTATTAGGTATGTTGATTGTCAAATTTCTTGACGTTGTCCTGCATAGTTAAACAACGGCCAAATAAAATTGATTCATAAATTTGTTTTGACAGAAGCTACGGACACTAATCACAGAATTGTTACTAACTTGAGATTTACGGTTGTCTGTCACCTTACCACCAATCTTAATCTCGCCTTCTGAGTTTGTCTCCTATGCGCAGCAAAATCCATCCAGAATTTCGATTGTCCTAACTTGAAAAACATCATAAACTTGAGTAATTTTCACAATCGTTTTTTATTTTCTGCTTTAGAAACTATCCTTATCAGAGCTCCGTAAACTCCTAGGACCCGAAGTACCTCCTGAACAAGCTGGTTTTGTTGGTTTTACTCGCGGTAAACCTGAAAAGTTGTTATCTTATCTTGAGGAGCGCTTATCGACATTTTAACATTTGTGTTGTTGGACATATTTCACACAATCTAACTGTTAATATTCCCTAGCATTGTAATTACAAAATTAGGATATAGTGACTTTTTGCTTTTCATTTGATCACTTGGATGTTTTTTAATGGTTGAATTACAATGTATATTGATATGGTAGACATATCATTGTATCTAAATTACCTTGCCTTGAGACCCTGAAGATAATAAGTTGTTACTCAATCGTAATAACTGTCACTATACTCTAGTAACTTTAAAATACATGTATACATGCAATAAACTTTGAACTGGTGAGCATTCTTCCACTGAAGCACTGATGTATCAGCAGTGCTATTAAGTTGTCCTATTTGCAACTCGTCGGCTGGGGGTACCTACATTTCGTTTAATTCTTGTTGTTATAATCATCATTCAGTTATGTCCGTACTCATGTACATTTTTGGTTTGGTTTGCGAACTTCTGGTGGACCAAAAAATACCATAAACGACTATTTCGTACTTTAGATTGAACATGATGTACTTCAGATGGCTGTTTTAATTGAGAATTCTGAGTGGAGAGAAGGAATTATACAATAAACTATGCTGAAAATTGTGTATATTGTGTAAATTTATTGTGCAGAATAAAGCTGTTGTTATTATAACATCACATTCATGGTGTTGAAGTCCACATCATCTATTCAATTTCACACTCGTGCCGTCTGTATCGCACCTATACATTTGTGCCATTCGTGTGACATTATGTTTAGGATTATCTCCGCTTAATGAATCCCGTAACTACACATATTAGTATTTACATGAAAACTGTCTACTGCATTCTCTTTATTTTGTACTTATGTAATTTACCATCGATCTGAGTATAACTCGTCTTATTTGTGTCTGTTGATCGCAAAATTCGAAATCCGTGAATCACTCCATTCCAAACATCTAATTACTTATAGAACGCCGTTTTGTGCGTATTTATTTTAAAATCTCGTAAACTCCGAATTGCATTGCGGGCGTATATCTGCTTTTCATGGAACTCTTTAGTTTGTTGGTTTTAAATACCCACTTTCACTCCTTTACTTATAGAATATTTCTATTCCCTCGCGTTTCAAATGAAACATATGCCTTCAATCTATTTCGAAGTTTCAGTAACGGTCGTAACGGTTTTACGAGGTAGGGTTGCTAGCCTCGCACTCAATCTTCCCTTATTTCCGGGTTTGTTGTCGGCTTGTAGAACTCGGCGAAGTGTGGGATTTCGTCGGCTGAGAATCGGACTTGGACCACGTACGTGGCTGGCAAATATTCTACTACTGAACCACCTATGCAACAAAAATACTATTTAGTCGTCCTATTTGGGGCTCGTTATCTGGATACACCTGCATCCCCAGTGAGAGTGGTGGATGATGTTCTTACTGAGACTTAAACTCAGTACGTATTGATTCAAACTCCGTAGCCAAATACCCAAATGAGCCACAATTATGTAATATAAAAGGCAACTAAATGATAAGCTCCAAGAAGATATGTTTAGAAGGAATAAGATCCGTTCACTTAATTGTGTTTTGATATATAATCAGGATTTTCTTTGCACACTACCTTACAATCTTGACATAAATTATTCGATGACGGGGTATTAAATTATTTTCATGGCAATTGTTCAGTTTTATGCAGCGATGTTAATGAAAATTTAAAAAGTATTACTACTTGGACAGGTCGGTATTTCAACTTTCAGTCTCTGCCCATTACAAAAAATCAGAGCCATGATTAAATGCTTATCTAATAGGATTCAGCATATATGGACAGCTGATTCAGTAAATAGGCTAATCCACCTGTTGAAAACAGGATATCCTTTGTATTTTTTTCAATTGGTGTAAAGGGCTGTTCGAAGTCTACAGTGTTACTCTATTCTTAAGATAGTCTAATATCAAGTAACCTTACAATTGAGGAGGGGGAGGGGAGATAAACAGTTTGGTTTTAACACAAGGACTAAATTCCGCCATCCATAAAACTTAACTGTGCATCCTGGTCTATGATTAGCAGACACAAAAAACAACCGTCAATGCGTTCTGCCATAAGTCTTAACATTGCGGAAACAAATGCGTCACAATCCCATATGGTATATCAGTTTATATAGGCATGTGGAGACACATATATGAGGAGGGCTAGTTACGCTTTGCATATTAGGGTTGAGGAATATGTACACAATGGGCTTGAAAAACATTTGGACACCAAAACATTGATAAACGCAGGTGGCAAACTACCAGCTTCGTCTATTGAAAAATACTCTGCTGGTATATGTCATAAGATTGTTGTCAAAATAATACATCAGTAATTAGACATCCATTTAAGACGAATTACTACATAAAAATCAGTTTTATCACCCTAACCAAACCCTAAACCTAACTCTAAGTGAAAAACTAGTCAGAATGGAAATGCAGAATGGTTCAGGGATAGAGTGAATAGAATTAATGCTAGGAGAAGATTGTTTATATACGTGTAAAACTTGGGCACTGTGGTAGTAAGTAATTCCATATTAGTTTGTTTATTAGATGTATCACACAGTGAAACAGTATTATTTACTGGATGACGTTTCGAACACAATTTATTGTTCATAATCATATCAATTTTGATCACACGACTTTGAAATTTTAGTTTTATAGTTTTCTTTGTCTTCTCCTATTTGTCGTAATGGTAGTAGAATTTTCCATATATCTGGTACAGGTGTTGAATCATTTCTATTACGAAACGTCATCCAGTAAATAATACAATAGAAATGTTTCAACACCTGTACCAGATATATGGAAAATTCTACTACCATTACGACAAATAGGAGAAGACAAAGAAAACTATAAAACTAAAATTTCAAAGTCGTGTGATCAAAATTGATATGATTATGAACAATAAATTGTGTTCGAAACGTCATCCAGTAAATAATACATCTAATAAACAAACTAATATAGAATTAGGAGAAGATTTGTTTCTCGAGGTTATTTGGTAGGTCGTTTGTTTGGGTTGGGCTACTTTGTGTTCACTCAAAATATTTTTAGTAGGAAATTCCCATAGGGAAAATAAATGATTCAGCGAAGAGACACTTTTCAAAGAAGTTATTATCAAGCTGTACAATCGTTTATACATATGGTTTTGAAGAAATTATATCCGGTGAGGGAATTGAATCAGACGTGTGAACACGTAAAATAATAATAGCATGAAATACAATTAAAACGTTTGTGATTATAATCATAGTTAAGTGTCGAGTGGCGAAACAATTAATGTCGTATACAGAAGAATTATACGATTAGTAGGCAGGTAAAATGAAAACGTTACGTAACACTAAAATTCGACAACATATAATCTAAAATTGCGAAAAAAGATTTAGAACGACAAGTGGGACGAGTGTAATAGTACCGGGGACATTTCAAAGTGAGGATAATAATCTTAGTAACAATTGACGTAATAAGGGAAGAGTACACAAATTGAAAGGAAAAAATAAACAGCCGAAATGTGAACGCGGATTATCATACTTTAGCTTAGAAGGATTAAGACCATGAAAGTTGGAGGGGTTGTACGACTTTTTTCTGTTCACAGACATCTGGCTTTTCCATTTCGATGTCCGAAGCTTCAGCAATACAGAGGAGTAAGGTACGGAATGATTTGAGCAAATTATATTTCGGCTTGTAGATGACTTTGACGGCTAAGCCTGTAGAGATAGGATGATCACTTTGATGTTCAAATTTCACACAGTGTGGCATAACGTCTTCAGTATATTTGCCTACTAATCGTATAATTTACACTCCCTTCCAACATCTATACATCCTACAAATTGTTCTATATACGACATTAATTGTCTTACCACTTGACATTTAACTATGATTATAATCACAAACATTTTAATTGTATTTCATGCTATTATTATTTTACGTTTTCACACGTTTGATTCAATTCCCTCACCGGATATGATTTCTCAAAAATCATATATATATATATATATTATATACTATTGTACAGCTTGATAATAATTTCGTTGAAAAAAGTCGCTTCTCTGAATAACTTATTTGATTTTCTATACTCAAAATAGTTCACAAGAGAATACAAAGTTAGACAATAAAATATGCTCAGGTGGTAGCTACCCTTGAAGCCAACTTCCTGTTTACGGAAACTTTCTTCTTAGACTTATTCCACGTTTTCTCGTTCCTTGCGTTCCTAGTGAAACATTAGGCTTCAAGCTTTTGTTTTTTTTTGAAGTTTCTGCGGCAGTGGTGACTTCTTAGTGGACAGGGTTGCTAACCCCACGCCCAAGCTATCCCTGTTTTCAGGGCTTACTACTGGTTCGGCGGGATTTATGAGTGCGTTGGTAGACATAGTCCAACCTTGGAACATGTGCGTGGTCGGTGAACATTCTACCACTGGACTAATGACACACTAAAATGGTGCCCCAGGTGAGACTTGAACTAACTACCTTCAGATTGCAAGACTGACTCACTAACCGACTGCGCAACAAGGGCCGATAAATTAGTTATTTTTATTTAATTATATTGCCAAGAGTAATGTCAATTATTATCGTCCTTGCACTCAGAGCACTAGTATTTTGTTTATTTTTATTGACCTTACAACTTAAAGACGCTGGGATTTGCAAAATATGTTTGTATATTTATCTGCTTAATATAATCTGTTATTTGTTTCAAGTTAAATTTCATCACGAACTGATATCGGCTAGAGAACCATTACAAACAAGAGGTACTGGATAGACGTGTCGGCCTGGTTTGGGACTTTTCAACTGTGCGCAACCCTAACCCCAACGAGGATTGAAGGATGGTGGCGAAATCGATGGTTAATGCATCGAATAAGCGAAAAAGTGTCTATTTATAGTGTCACTGGTTTTTATCGTCTATGCAAATAGAAAAAGAATCATAAATTTTTATGTATTTCGAAGAGAAATATTCACGCAAGTAGAAGAATAATCAGTTTTCAATCAATAGATGATATAGATATATACACTGAAGATAATACTTGAATCGATGAAAGTGATTATTGAATACTGCAGACTTTAGCATGAACAGCAGCTTTTTTAGTTTTAAGTTTATCAAGCCGTAGAGCTCGACGTTGATTACCTGAAAATAAAGTAGATTTGTGTTATTATTGATAAAATATGGAAGAGAAAAAGACTGAGGAAAGAATATTCTTTAGATAAGTTGTTCATCAGGTTCTACAGTTAGACTATAACTTTCATTGCGAATGATTTTGAGGCATGTCACATACAACCTCCAATCACCGGACCAAAATTCAAGCAATTTAACCCACCCTATGTGACTCAAAACAACAGTCAAAGACTTCGATGGACTAATGTCATGTCTGCATCCTCTAATTCCTTACTCTTTTTCCAATATAATCCTATTTCAGCCCAATGTTACGTAAGGCATTGAGGCAGACGGTACCTTAGCATACGTAAGATATATCCATGATATCTCAATCGATAGAACTTCAGTAGTGTCGATCAACTCTTCGCCTTTCTACTTAATACTACGCTTAACATGATTTATGAGCGAATTCAATTAGTACAAACATAATACAACTCAGAGTTACACATTATGAAAATGAAATTAATAATATTAGTCATTAGATAACAAATCCACGACTATCAGTTCTCGTGCAAAGCATAATTTTTCAGTGAAATTTTTTTTCTTTCACGTTCCCCAGTGAAACATAGAGCTTCAAGCTAGTTCCTTCTGTAGCAGTGTTTATTTACAGGATGGGGTTGCTAACCTCATGCCCAACTTTTCCTCTTTACCATCACTATTTCTGGCTTAGCGAGGTAAAGGAGTGAGTCTGTGGCCGGGGATCGAACCCCGAAACATGTGCATGGTCGGCAAGCGTCCTAACCGCTATGCCACCGACGCACTTTCAGTCAAATGGCTAGCATTATTATTTCACTATTTTGAGGACCTAAACTTTTTTACTTGAATTAGTCAAACTGAAAAGTTGGCATGATTTCTTTTTCACTCTTTCATATACCTAGCTACTTGTGAACATCCCATTTCGCATAGTAACAGATTACTTTTTCTAGATCATCTGTTTGAGATTATAGATTGAATAAAATCACTGAGAACTTACTAAGAAAGAATGAAAAAAAAAGAAAATTACAAACTGCTTTTTTAATAAAAGTAGTTTTATAGCTTAGAATAAGAATGAAAATATCCTGGCATTCTCTGAGCCTTAACATTTGATCCAAAACGTTCCATTATCAAGCTGGAAGACTTCACCAGGACATTTTTAAAGTAACACAATATATCATATACTACTGATTGATTGACATGAGTAGTTGGTTATCACTCAAATCAACTGGCAGTGCTTGCTAGCCGGAAAGCCATTCCACTCAACACCGGTGAACCCGAACGTTCCATCATCAGCCTAGGAAACCTCATCAGTACTTTTACTTAAATTAGGAAATGTGCACTATCGTACAAAACAAAGATGACATGAAATTAATTTGTTCACACAGAAATTTACTTGAATATATATTATTTTGTTGTTATCAATAGCTTACCTGCTATGTATATAGCTCGATTGAATGCACCAGCTGCTAACGCAATGCTAAAAACAGAATGTAAAAATTTCATACCTTTTTAGTAAGCTAATAGCTTTCTTTGTTAAAATGGAAAAGTATTTTACGGTGATTATGCCTACATCGGTTGAAGACGAAGTTCTATGTTAGACAAGTTTATTTGATACAGCGCACAAAGACATTGTGTTGATCACTGGATGACGTTTTGAGTACAATCTATTGCTCATAATCATTTAAATGCGATATGATAAATTTATCTAATATGGAGTCATATTCTACCACAGTGCTGAAATTTTACTCTCACATTAATGGGAAATAGGTTGTGTTTGCAATACAGACAGAATGAACATTATTGCAAGATAAAATGGGCTGATGTTTTTTCTATTTTACGACTTCTTGTTGTATACACCTGGTTTTGCCTAATTTTGCCTAAAACCTTAAAATAACTATTTTAAGGGGTTATCGCTCAGTGGCGTAAGCCTTGTGTTTCTCCCTCCGTTCGGATTGCTCGATTCCTCTTGGCTGCTAATACTTTTAATGCATCACTGAATTACTGCATCTTCAAGGCCATTCTGACACCAATTTGATTGGAATAATGTCGAAATTTTAAATAGAGGAACCACTGAAACTGCAGTCAAGGAATTCCTACAAGTCTGGAACTCGAGGGAATCAGCAATAAACGAACACATTACTATAGACCAAATTCACATGACAAGAAATTTCGGATTCCAAGTCAATAAAAATGATCAATAGAGATGTAAATTAACAACCAGTCACAATACTCGTTGCCAAGAGATTCAGTTACGTCATTCATGGAGAATTTAAATAAGTCTGTTTTATACTAAAACCTGGGCTGAAGATGTTGTCTAGAAGCGGGACGACGAAAGCTACAGAATTAAATCAACCAGCTCAAAGAACACTACTAGCTATAAACATATATATATATATATATATATATATATATATCCAAAAGCAGCACTCAATAACTTACTTATCAGATCCAGGTTTTAAAATAAGACTGAACAAGGCAAACACAGGTCTGTGATCTGATGAACGTATAGTGTTAATACAGTTATACTCGAGACAAATTAAACTTTCCTTTCTCTTCGACATAAACAATATTCTGTCCTGTATGTTAAATTAAAAAGAAAGTTTTATCAAATATGCATGTGGCGAATAATCAAATGATTGTTGTATATATATAAACAGAAGTTACACTGTGTGGATCAATCATTCTTACCCTATCTAAATTCTTATCTTCTGATAATCTCACTACTCTTGATCTACTTGTCTGACCTATATAGTTGACCTTACTCACAATCATTGCAAGGTATTTGGAAATTATATTACTTTGTTTAATCTGGTCAGTCAAGTCCTCTAGACTACAGAACTTTGCTGATGTATATAAACGAATAAACGGATTTGATTGGTTTCAGGATTTCATCATGAGCTGACATTAGTTAGAGAACCATTGGAAAACCTGGGAGTACTGGACAGATGTTTCGTCCTAGTTTGGGACTCTTCAGCAGTACGCACCCACCGGGATTCGAACCTAGGACCTTCCGGTTACAAGGCTAGTGAGCTCGTATACCATTAAGTCACTGGGACCCGATCTAATGGTCCTTGAATTCTAACTTCTGCCAATTCACGACATAGCGCAACCGCTAGCCAATGTCTTCGGCGAGTATTTGTCCTCACACCCGACCAGCTGCACCCTACTGGTCACGACTTCCCACTGGAACCCAGGTAACTACCTACCTGAATAGGGCCAGTCGCCAGTGAGCATCCCCTGGTTTTCCAATGGTTCTCTAACTAATGTCAGCTCATGATGAAATCCTGAAATGAAATGTAAAGTTTTCAATGACATAAAAACATCACTTCATTCTATGTGAAACAACAAAGACCAAGAAAAGAGATTTAGATTGTACACCAAAATATGAAACGTTTTATTAATAAGCGTTATATAAAGAAAGATAAGTTCCAAACGGTTATACCACTTAGACAATCAAAAAAAAAGTTGACTAACACACTTGAGTAAGCTGAAATGCTGATTGATTAGTTCAGATAAGGAACCAATAGAAATAATATATCCCACTTACTGTATATGACGGAACTCTTTGCTTATCTGATGAATCGTAAACATCAGAATTAATATCATACTTGTATGTTGGAGGGAAACGAATACGACCTTCATCGAAATTACGGAAAATGATGCCTAACAAAAGGATAAAACATTAAAGGGAAATGACTAAAATGGGAATAAATTCTATCTAAAAGAAAATAACAAGGTCTACAACTGGTTTCAAAGTTTGTGTTGCAACAAAGATACTGAGATGATTTATCAGTAGTATGTAAAGGGACGTTTATCAGCAGGAAAAACATCAATTAGCAGTGAGATATGTTTAATGTCAGAGTAGGCAAATGATACAGAGTTCTGAAGAGATACTTGGGAGCAGTGAAGGGAACACAAAGTTCAGAAGTTCCACAACACGAAGGGCTGTGTAAATGGTTCGTTAAAGATAAGGTATACATAATTTGGGTTATATAGCGATATTAATTACTCGCAAACACATTTTGTCTCCAAGTCTCTCTTCTTATACCGTTATAGTATGACTCGATATAATACTCAAGGAAGACGGTCGCTTTATACTGTTTTCACTTATACTTACAACACTTTATCCGCTACTTTACAATGAATCCAGCTCAGGGTCATCAAGCTAATTAATTAATGTTTAATCAGTGTTCGTTCGCTAGTTATAGAATTTAGAACACATATTTCGTCCTACTTAGGACTCATCAGATAGGTGTGTTTTCATCATCAGTTAATGGAGACTGGGACACAGAATCCATCGTCTCAAACGCCAAAGCACTACCAACAGGGGCTACTTTTAGTGCAGTGAGTATCAACGGTTTGTTTTCTTTAAGTTACACGGTTATCAGGTTACAGTTCAACGACCAACAGTTTACAAATAGCTATTTTTTAGTGGAATTATTTATTTAAAACAGTTAGTTCCCTTTATGGATTTAGATAAAGCAATAAGAAGACGTAATTTGTCTGAATCGTGTGTAACGTATTTCCCCTACACATTCGTCATAGGAATACATATGTAAAATTAATAAAGAGTTAAGAGGTGAGAAAATAAATTCAGGTCAAGTTAAAAGGACATATTTTAGGTAAAAATAACAATGTAGACCACTAAACTAAATGAGACAAGTAATAGTACATCCACCCTGGCTGGCATCAGAACAAAGTTTAGCAAAGAAGGTTTAGTGTGATGACGAATTATTGCTTTGATCGCATGAAGGTGGTTTAAACTTCTACAAACTTTAGGATACGCCCCAAACACGATTTATCAATAGGCTTAAAATATGTGTAAACAGCAATTTTATATCCTGTCCCTATGATATGTTTCGCAATAGAGGAGATATATCATCTGTTCTCACCATTGATACGTTCTGGGGATTCTACCTCATTCGGTACACAGGAGCCTTAGTAAGGTGCCTCCTCAGTAGAATACAACGAATATGCACTGAAGACACACTTGATGAGGAAGAAATAAAGCTGCCCCGAACTCTCGCTGATAATAATTATCCAGACAAGTTCGTCAGGAGATATAAAGTATTCAGAACACCAAGACTCACTCTCCAACTCGCTGCTAGGGTATGCATCAAGCTATCCTGTATGGGTGATCATAGAAGCTTCGTAACTGAAAAAAGATTGAACACTGTGGTTAAAAAGACTTTTTATGCAAATAAGGTCATCCTAATTGAAAATATGAAGCCAATATATCCATCTAAGTCCTTATAACATGTGATAAATGATTTCACATCCTGTTGTATTTACCAATTCAAATGCACGTGTGGACACACATCAGAAAGAAGACTCATCAATCTCTGAAAGCAAAGGCTTCAGAGCATTTTCCCAAATGGCTTCAGAAGCAGATTGAATCCCTGGAACGCAGATGATCTAACTCCTCTACTGCGAAACACATGATAGAAACAGAAGATAAAGTTGACGTTTACAGATCTTCTAAACCTATCTACAGAAAGTGTTTGGGGCGTATCCTAAAGTTTGTGGAAGCCCTAGCTGGCAATTAGGGAGTTTAAACCACCTTCATGCGATCAAAGCAATAATTCGTCATCACACTAAACCTTCTTTGCTAAACTTTGTTCTGATGCCAGCCAGGGTGGATGTACTATTACTTGTCTCATTTAGTTTAGTGGTCTACATTGTTATTTTTACCTAAAATATGTCCTTTTAACTTGACCTGAATTTATTTTCTCACCTCTTAACTCTTTATTAATTATACATATGTATTCCTATGACAAATCCGTGTATTTGATCAGATTGTTCGAAATGTGTTGCAGAAATACATTACACACAATTCAGACGAATTATTTCTTCTTATTGCTTTGTTGGAGTTATTTATGCCTCCCACTGTGAAATTACAAGGATGGTTGATTACATTTCGTATATCATGGCTCCGTATGAACACTTCAGTATTCCGTGACTGACTGAACCCGGTAACCCAATGAAAAACTACTACTAGTTCTACTGATAGATAACTATGCATATATTCATTGCATTATTTCCGAGTGGGAAAACGCTCTTCGAATGCCATATTTCCATTCCACCAAGTTCTCCATTATCATTTCCAACCGGTTTCATGACTGTCCCCAAGCTTTCATTTCCCCACCATAACATATCCTACACATCGTCGTCTCATCCCCAACTCGTCGCTCTCCAATAGGGTGTCACTCGACTGTATGAAGTGTGATGTCATTCAGCGGTCTCCTCATTCTACCTCCAGTCCATCTTCATTTCTTTCTTCAAATTTGTTGGATAATGGCTTCTTCTTGACAGGTTTACTTCCTGTAAATTTTATTGTTGCTTATCCATTCTAGCTGTCTGATCTTCACTATGGGGTGGAAGTAGCTGTTGATGAAAGTCTGCTGTTTGTTGGAAATGGTCCTAGTGGTGTATGTACCGAGTCTCTGAACTTTAAACTTGGTTAAAATACCAACTGATGTGAAATGCTAAATGAGGATTTTTTTTAACATATCCATAAGATTTTCGAGCGTTTATGCACCGTGAATATTTTTTATTCTTTTACGTTCCCAGTGGAACAAAGGAATTCAAGCTCTAGCTTTGAAGTTTCATTAGCAGTGAGGCTTTTTAACGAGATGGGTTTGTTAGCCTCCTCACGCCCAATCATCACTCTTTGTCCGGATTATAACCGGCTAATGAAGGTGAAGGTATGCCCTGGCCGGGATTCGAACCCTGGACCATGTGCATGGTCTCCCAGCATTCTACTGCTGAACCGAACCACCGACGCAACGATGCATTTTGAATATTAAGAAAGTGACAAGAAGAAAACCGATGTCTACTATTCATGTGTAATTAGAATTCCCTTATTGTCAGGTTAAATAAAATGTTGAACGGTAATACAGAAAACAGATATGTTATTGAATAATTATGTTAGAATTATTTATGCCTTCTACTACTGTAAAATTACAATAATAATTATAATTATATGCATTATTAAGCTCTGTTTAACTTAAGAAAATCCTTTGAATGATCACATGAGCTTAATTTTTACTGCACGTGAAGACATTAAAAAAAAGATAAAAATATTATAATAGCATGTATCAAAGTATTCGTTGGCATAGTTACTGACTTACTATTTGTTATGATAATGTGATTCCCCCCTTTTTTTCTTTTAACATCAACATTTTCACTAACATTCCCTTTAATGCCTTCATACATTTATTCGCCTTTATGAATTTCAAATACGGGAAGAAGAACAACAGTGGTGTGTGTGCAGAATAAGACGATGCTAACATCGCTGTTTATTTCGTTGACTTGTCATCATCATCTGCTTACAGCCTATTTAAATTAATCAATTTATGTACAGAAAGGTTTAAACATACTTCTAAATTATACATGATGTCAGCTGACAGGAGGTTCCGAAATTAGTGAAGAACTCTCAGGAAATTATACTTATATAGTTTTTACACAGGCAGTTCACTTCGAAACAAAGTAAGTGCATGCAAGCAATGGTAAAGGAGTTACGTAATAAAGACGAGAGATGCGTAAGATGTAGAGTGACTAATAAATTAGGTAACAATGTACTGAGTTCAACTCAAATCATAGGGACAAGAGACAAGCAAAATTATACTGTATCGAACAGGAGCGAGGTTAAAGCCAAAGATTACGCAATCGAATGAAGGAGAGAATAAAGACATCCAGTTACCAGGGCAGGAGAAGACTGATAATTGTTTCATTCTGAACACATAAATCGGGTTTCAGGCGTGTATCTGCGGGAGCAGTTACATTCGGAGAACAGAAAGAAGAGCACGCCTCCAATTTTCTGAACATGTGCCGAAAAGCCTACATCTCAAGGGGACAAACGCTTACAATAGTGCCATTACCAGGCACCGCCTTGATACGGAAATCGCAAAATCCTTTGAAGTTACCAATAGACAAAAAAGCCCAACTCTCCTCCAATTTGCTGAAGCAACCTCTATCAAACGCCTTAAATCTGATTTATGTGTTCAGAAAGAAGCAGTTATCAGTCTTTCCTTCCCTGTCTGGTAACTGGATGTCTTTATTTTCTGTCTTACACTTGACTAAGTAATCTTTGTAATTTTGCTTGTCTCTTTATTTATATGATTTGAGTTGGACTCAGTATATTGTCACCCGATTTATTAGCTACTCATCATCTTATGCACCCCTCTCGTCTCTATTACGTAACTCCTTTACCATTGTTGCACACACTTACTTTGTTTCAACTTGAACTGCCTCTGTAAAAATTATATATGCTTAATTTCCCTAGCAAGTATGCAATTATGTTAGAACTTTTCTGTACATAAACTTAACAATTTCTTTAGGCTGTAAGCAGTTGACAAACCAACGAAATAAGCAATGATAGTACCATCATCTTATTCTGCACAAACCACTGCTGCTCTTGCTTTACACAGACTTTAATGGGTCTTTAATCGGTAACATCTTTGATTACTGAAATCAATAAGGGCAACAATATCAGATATACCTAGTAGTAGCTGTCTCATGACTTAACCGTTGTGTGAAGAATGTTAATAAATTCCCCCGGATAAAGATATTAGTAATTTAAGAGGAACATTTCGGTCACAATGTAGTCGTTTGTTGATGAATTTGGGTGTAATTAGTAGATTTTATAGTAGTACACATCAACAGTCGACATCAGCGAGACAATTAAAAAAAGCAAAAGAATATACGATTACTGCGTTGTCCCATTTTAAGGCACTTCAGCAACGACATTTTAATTATTGCATTAATTTTATTGGTCAGTTATCGCCCCGTCAACTTGTTGATATTGTGATTAAACTTAAGACCACTTGACTGAGGAATTTTCGTACTGTATTAAAGTTGCTTTATACATACACATTTTAGAGTAAAACCATAGATGAAAATCCAATTGAAAAGGAAATATTTCGTCGCTGAATCTCTTTGTCATTTAAACAACTATAATTGTGATCAGTACACAGCTCTAGATTTAAAGTACAATAGTGAATAATTAGTTATGTGTACGTCAGTGGTTTGGCGATAGAAGGCTTGACAACCACGCCTACGTGGTCCAGTGTTCGATCCCCGGTCGACGCATCCCCAAACCACTCTTAGTCGGCAGTAAACCCTCCAAGTAGGGAAGGCTGTGAATGAGGCTAGCAACCCAATTCCATAAAGAAAAACACCTTGGCTACTGAGACTTCAAAGCTCAAACCTGAAGCCTTATGTTCCACCCAAAATGCAAGGGGATAAAATAAATTCAAGTAATAATTACCTTCTGCTTGGGCATTCAATAATTCATCAGCTGATAAAAGTTCTTCATAGTTTTTATGCTTATATTTTCCTTTGATAATATTTTCAACAATATTTCTTGGTCTTTGTATTCGAAAATTTAAATCCCCCGCCCAAAATACAACATCAAATCGATCCATTGGATTGGGTTCTGATGAAACAATTAAGAGGGAAAACTTTGATAAAGACTGCTATTACGGCCACTTATTTGTTCACGGGACACATATATGGTCTTTTAGGAATTTTTAAAAGTGTAACTGATTACATCAACACATAAATTGCTCACGGTTTTCGTTTTGGCCTAACTTACTTATCGATTAGTAAATTATTCTGAAGAAACTTATATTGGCGAAAGCTGGGAGATAAATTTAGCTACAAGTCACACTTAGGATAAATTATTAGGATAGTATATACATTTCTTCAGTTTCGTACTTATACGATAAAATATCAATCAACAGGGCAAGAAGGATCTGCACCGATGACTCCCTGGGAAATAAATTAGGTCATATTCAAAGTACTCTGGTTCAAATGGGTTATCCTCGTAGATGTGTAAGATAGCACACGAATAGTTTGTATAATAAAGAGAAACTGACAATGGTTAAGAAGAAATAATTGTTCATGAAACTGCAATTCACTAGGGACGTAGCTAATGAAGTCCCATACCTAAGACTATCTAGAGGCGTAACATAGATTTATACTGCTGTCATCCTTTGTTTTTCATTTTCCAGCCGACAAATTATGATCACTCAAGTGGAAGATAAGCTAGCTAGCTGTTTCACTTCAATGTACATTTACAAGTTTAACTGCTCCTACGGAGGAAGCTATATAGGGCGAACAACTAGACAGCTCAGAAAACGTATTACTGAGTATCCTCTTGCGAGGTCCGGAAAGGGTCAAGTAAAATCTATAAAAAGTCTTATTTTGTCTCATTTAGTTGATGGTGGTCACCAAGTGGAAAGAAGAAAAAGCGCCTGCGAAGTTATCTATCGCATTCCATCAAACCTTTCGAACCCTCCTTTTACACATAACTGAAGCTATGGGAACTTGAGGGAACAATCCTAATCTCTGTATTACAAAAGAAGTTTGTTCTACCTTCCCACACTTTCTTATTCTTCATTTCCTTCGTACTTTCATGACATTTTACTTAAACTCTGATTACCTATCCACTTCATCTTTAGCATTGCGTAACTTTTGATCGATTTATTGAATGGTTTGCTTAATGATACTACCTTCATTATTCTTATCGCCACCTGCATAAATTTTTTGTACTTTTGTTATCATCGAACTTATTATCATTATTTTTGCTGTTATTATAATTACCATTATTAGTGACATTCAAAACATTTAACATTTATTAGCATTTTTGATTCACAAATTCACCGTCATTGGTTAAACTTTAGAGCAAAGCCTGTAGAAGACCTAATTGAAAACAATACTGTTCACTTATACGTCTTATTTTAAATCGGTAGTGCATGAATGTTTCAAGCTCATTTAAGTCCCTAAATAACTTGACTACACGGTATCATCAATGGGAGTAGAATTTAAAGCCTAGTTTAATTTGTAAACTACTAATTCCAAGAAAGCTCATCAATTCCTTCGAATCAGAACGGCTGGAACATGGGTTACTGCAACTAAGCCACCGTTTGCTTTAATATGTGTTATTAGCTGGAGTAGATTAGCGACGTACAAAAGTTGACAGTGACTTATTTGTCCTATATTCGATCATAATACTGTTAATAAATATTATATTCATCAATAAAAATGAACAAATTTTTTAGTCACTGTTTGTTTCCTCAAAAATTTAACATACCATTATATTTATATCCTTTGTTGAAACCAACTTTTGGCAAATTTATACTATCTACTACTTGTAAGTAGTCTTGAACTCTCCGTTCAAAATTTGTATGGCTAGCTAAGAGGAATAAGGAAAAAGAAATAAAAGTAATAAATAGTTGAAATTCCAACTGATTCCAACATTTAAAGTTAGATAAAGAACTGACATCAATTAGAGGACTTGTGAAAACTACAAGGGAGTACTGAACACTTAGTTCGTATTTGTTTGTGGCTCATCAGGATGAACTTTTAAGCTGTGAAGCGAACTCGTTAACCATTTGAACAATGGGAGAGGATACAAGAACCAACGGATTCTAAGTTCCATTTTCAACAGACCTCTAATATTGATACCAATTCATGTTGTAACTTGAAATTAATCAAATACTTGTAAATCAACCCTCGATAATTGCACTTCACTTCACATTCAGTTTTATTTTACGCCACTGAAATACATCTTTATTGTTGATATTAGATAGTTGGAGGCAAACAGCAGGAAGCCTTGGACCCAGATTTCGTGCTGGCTGGCACTCACTAGTCAGAAAGGTGTATCTGCAACCTTGAAGAAACTCATGTCCCCTCTGAAACTCGGACCTATGTCACCCGGTGAGTACTGCAGTCAGAGACGTTACCACTGAGGTATTCGGGCTCGCGATCGACCTCCTGTAAGACTATTCGCGAGCCCGAATACCTCAGTGGTAACGTCTCTGACTGCAGTACTCACCGGGTGACATAGGTCCGAGTTTCAGAGGGGACATGAGTTTCTTCAAGGTTGCAGATACACCTTTCTGACTAGTGAGTGCCAGCCAGCACGAAATCTGGGTCCAAGGCTTCCTGCCGACTGCCTTCAACCATCTAGTATCATCAAATCAATGTGCACCGTGATGGTGAGCCACCTAGAATGGTGGCCACATTACAAAACTTACTGATAGAATTCAGTCTGCAGCAAAGAAAGGACTAGACACATCACACTAGTTACTAGTGTCAAATAAAAATATCTTTACTGTATTTATATAATATAATAAGTACAATGTGAAATTTATAAGCTTTATAAGACATTCGACAGCAGAGATCGGCCAAAATTATTTACACTGGAGACTATGTAGGTCTAAAGGTTCCAAACTGTATCATTAGCCGCAATTTAATTATTTTTTCATCTTACGCAGTCATGTTTCAGGATCTCATCATAATCTGACACTGGTTAGTGAACTACTGGGAAAAAACGCAGGTTTTCAAATGATTCTCTAGCCAGTGTCAGCTCATGATGAAATCCTGAAACTAATCAAATCCCCCGCAAAGCAACACTTGGACGTCAGTGTGATACTTATTAATTAGTGACTGTCCCTATTCAAGTAGGTAGGTTCCCCAGGTAGGTTCTAATAAGAATTCTTGACCAGTAGAGTATAACAGGTTGGGTGTGAGGACAAATACTCGTCAGATATGATATTGGCTAGTGTCAGTCGTGCTTCTAAAGTGAATTGGCAAAAATTGGAGTTCATGGGCAACTGGATAGGATCCCAGAGGCCTAACTACCCACCAGCTGGCCTTGTAACCGGAAGGTCCTGGGTTCAAACCCATGTAACGGGTGCGTAGTGCTATAGAGTCCCAAACTAGGACGAAATAGCTGTACAGTACTCCAAGGTTTACTAATGATTCTCTGACCGATGGCAGCTCATTTTTCTTTACATTTTCACATTTTTAATAAAAGTATTTATAAAGGGATTATTTATTAAGGTTTGTAACATTATTGCATTACATAACTAAAAAAATCAGTTGGAATCCAGTCGACTAGAATCTTAGTTGAAAACTCTGGTAATTTATATGTATATTGAGGTTTGCAGTGGACAGAAATAAATATCTGCGTAGTAAAGATGTATATATCAGCCTATCAGATTGTTAAAGTAAGTCGATTTAAGTAATGCATACTGCACATTCGAATTAATCAATCGTTTCACCATGAGATAACACTTAGGACATAGGTAAATAGGTTAACTAATGTTATTGGTTAGTTCAAGAAGCATAGTGTGTATCGAGAGCTCCATGAACTGCAGTAAGTCGACGTAATATACTGACAACTTTAAGTTGTCCTAATAAAATCTTTGGAAGTTCTTTTTCATTCCTGTGCATTCAAAATGGAACATGGGACTTCAAGCTTGAGCTATGAATTTTCAATAGAGGTGGTGTTTCTTTTACGAGATGCCATTGCTAGCCTCGCACTCAACCTCCATTCTTCCTTCCAGGTTAACTACTGGCTAGGCGAGTTTTAGGAGTGCATTGGCGGGGAATCAAACCCGGACCAAGTACATGGTTGGAAGCAGTCTGTATTTGAACCGTCGACTGAAAGATTGATAATCAATAATTGACAGACATGGATTGCAGTCTATGACAATGTCTAGGATTTGTTCAGATTCAACTAGATGTTCATTCTGACTTGTATAAGGTTCCTGTTCTATAGTGAAATGGTATGAATTCCTAAGAATGATGCTTAGTATCACTAATCAACTGAAAGGCTCGCTCGCTCAATTCTGTCCACGTAAAATAAACCGTTTCTCTAACTGAGTAATAATGCAAGCGCTTAAGTGGATTTTTCTAAAAATCACAATACACTATGTTAGACAAACTAAGTAGTATAATAAAAAATCAGGGAAAAAAAGCTGACACGAGTGAACTTAAGAATATAAAGGTATTGGTTACAGTTATTCATCAGGAAGGAAAATGGCAAAATCGATTATTCAGACTATCAGTGTTTAAACTAATCCAACCACTGTCTACACAACCATCTACAGAAGTGAATTTTTTTATGGTAAATGACATAAAAGCGATAACTTTTAGTATTATTTTTTAATTATAAAAGGAACATGGCCATTACATCATTGACACGATACGTTTCAATGATTTTTATTTAGGTTTGACCAAAACTCCACCTCTGAAATGAATGTTGTCGCACACTCAGCATTTATATGAATTTGAAGGTTGACAATTTTTGAGTTTAATAATTGCGTAATAGTAGTTGTGTGGTGGTGTGATACAGACAATGTATGCCAACGGAATATTATTCTCACATATTCCTACAGTCCAATACAGTAGTAGCAACAGAATAGAATGTAGCTATTTCAACATTCTGTTTGTTAGTAGAGTCGGAATTTTAATCCCAGAGTTCAATACTGCAAACAATATATCTATTTGAATATTCTATTTGATGTTAGAGATATAATACATTTCCCACTGCATTAACAACAGAATACTATCTATATTTGAATGTTTTATTTCATGTCGTTTGATGTAAACATTAGATGGTGTTAAAAACATCAGAAATAATGTCACTAAGTGTAGAATATTGGGTGGGTAAAGTAAGCCAATCGACAAGATTGTGAATCTTCTTCGACTAAAGAGACTAGGAAATGTATTTATTACACATGCCAACCTACAGCCTTCCTCTATGAGACATATCAAGTGGAGCAGTATTCAGAGTAGATCTATTCACACAGTATCATCCTGATTTTTTTTGAGTATCCTGACTAGTAAGTTTAAGATTCGTCTTTCCTCGCAGTCATACCTTACCATTGTAGATTTACTACATTACCGTTGTCTTATATTATGCATGCTTTATTGCAGTGCAGCGACTCGAAATGATTCGTTTCTGGATATCATGTGCTGAACAGTAATAATACTTGTGGCGTGTGTTACTGACAACAGTTTGTAAGTAGTATATTGTATGTGATGTCTTCTGAAAGAATCTTGAACAGAAGAACGATAGTTTAGGTTGCAAAGAGAAGATATGAAGATCGCTGTGAAGCAATATAGGAAGCATGGAATGAAGACAACAGGAGCGGTTCACAAAAACATTTACAGAATGAAATTTCAACGTTTATGTGTTCTTTGATCATTATACATCATTTCGCCAAATAAAAATTACACTAACGAATAATACTGCATTCTGTAATCATCTAACCAGGTGTAACGCAAAACCCGTCTTGTTACTAGATGACTAAAGGTAATCGACATGAGTTTGAAGTTTACTTGAGCTCGTCAGCATCCTTATGGGAACTGATATTCCATTGAAGATTCGAATTTCCATTTCTTAGTGAAAGATACTACCAATTAGTTGCCCGTAAGTGGGTGATCTCTTGTAGGATCGCAATGGATTGCTCGATTGCTCCCACTTGAAAAACTCAATGTAACGGTTTGTAGTTCTTAGTGCAGTCGGATTGCATCAGACAATGCTGCTCAGTCTAAGCAACACTGACTTTAGCACTTTTCCGTACAGATTCGAATCTCTGAGTGGACACATAAATTCTTCCAAGATTGTAGATACGGCTTGATTACGAGTGCCATTGAGTACATAACTTATGTCCACATCTTCCTTCTCAGTGCCTCCAACTACCCAACACCATTCCCAAGTATCCTGAAATAGTAGGTGACCACATTGCAAACATAAATGGACAAAAATGGAGGAAATAATATGATATTTGATTTTTACTTGGGATTTATCAGTCAAAACACGCAGATCTGCGAAGAGTCTCTTTTCGGCGAATTCATTTTCTTAGCTGTACAATCGCAAATATATATGTGTGGTATTTCGTATGGATGTGTACATTAAGGTTGTCAAACAAAATTACAATTGGTTATGGTTATTTTAACTAAACAGGTGAAGATTGGTAATACAAGTTAAGAAAATTAGGTGTTAATGAAACTAGGGTAGTAACAATTGGAATACCAACAACATATTTGAGAGAATTATTATTGAGATGCACTCTGAACGTCCAGTTCATATTCAACGACACCATCTACAGACAAAAAGATGGTATGGCAATGGGATCTCCGTTGGGTCCACTACTATCAGATTGCTTCACGGCAAGCCTTGAGAGAGGTGCACTAAAGCCGAGGATTGACAATTTGCGACTGTATAAAAGATACGTGGACGACATTTTCATTATTTTTGACAACAACAATGACCCCAATCTACTACTGAAGACATTTAACTGTTGTCATCCAGCAATAAAATTCACTCTTAAAATGGAAAACGAGTCAAAAATTCCGTTTCTTGATGTGGAACTAACAAGAAGAACTGATGGGAGCCTAAGAAGATCGATTCATAGGAAAGCTACGTAGAATGTTCAACTAACAAGCTTCTATAGCTGGGTACCCATACAACAAAAGCGGAATTTAATTAAATCACTTACCACCCGCATCCGACGCATCTGTAGTCCCGATGTTATAGAAACAGAATTATATCTTTTGACAAAAATTTTCATCCAAAATGGATACCCAATAAGATTCATCGACGAAAATATGAAACCAATAATTCGGAGAAATGACACTTCACTCGCACCTAAAAAGAAACTCTACATGAACTTGGATTTCAAGGGAGATTTTTAGCAAGCGATATTCTCAAGAGAAGGATCACATCATCTCTGAGAAGAACATTCTTTGCAGCAACGCTAAGAATAGTGTTCTCCAGTCGCCCACTGATCTGCAGAAGCCTGAAGGACAAGATCCCGCATCTGACCACTTCTATGTACATATATCAGTTCAACTACTGCTGTGGAGCCAGGTACATCGGTCGTTCGACGCGCATCCTGTCCAAGAGGATTCAAGAACACCATCCAGCATGGCCGCGAAAAGGCGATAGTGGTGCAATAAGGAATGCAACAATTGAACACCTGGTCAACGCTGATTATTCCATTTCAACAAACGCCTCTTTCAAAGTAATCTAAAGAGTCAAGAATAACCAATCAAAGGCAATACGGTTTCGGTTCCTTTGTATCGCTGAAGCTCTGGCCATTCACATAGAAAAACCGGAGCTGTGCATACAAAAGAAGATTACTCAACCGCTTCTACTGTCATGGTAACAACCTTTTTTGTTTTTATTTGATTTGAGTTTTTTTTATTTTGATGACTTCATTTTGTTTCTTTGCCTGTTCTTTAATTGCTAAGAATCCTTGTATTCATTCAGAACTCTTACGTAGTTTCGCATTATCTACTTTGTTCCTGTGTGTATCCTGAGTACAGCTCAGTCATCAAACTATTCATATTATTACACAACTTCTTTTAACAACTGTTTGTGACAACTCATCACCTTTGTTACTACCCTAGTTTCATTAACACCTAATTTTCTTAACTTGTATTACCAATCTTCACCTGTTTAGTTAAAATAACCATAACCAATTGTAATTTTGTTTGACAACCTTAATGTACACATCCATACGAAATACCACACATATATATTTGCGATTGTACAGCTAAGAAAATGAATTCGCCGAAAAGAGACTCTTCGCTGATCTACGTGTTTTGCTTTCATTAATGCCTGGATGGGAATTATCCATGAATTTATCAATCATTCTTCCTTTCATTCAGAGTCCCATAGATAAAGCAGGCTTACATGATTTAAGTTTTTATTCGTCTGTACTAGTACCTAGACTGAACAGTTAAAGAGTCCTTAAATGTACACAAAGATTCCGACTGTTAGTTTTTTTTTAAAAGGAGTTAATGCTGCGTTAAACAAATACAAAAATTATCGCGGTTTACATAAACAGAGAAAAATTCAATTTCCAACCAGTAAAAAAGTAGGAAACCTCGCCTAGATCACTAGCTCACTAGTTTTCTAGCCGGTCTCAAGCCCGGATAAAGAGGGAGGGTTAGGGTGTGGTGCTAGCACCTCTACTCCCGTAAAACAACCAAATCGCTACAGAAACTTCATAGGCTGCCCAGTTAGCCGCAGAAATGAAGAGATATAGAATAGAAGTGTTGGGAATCTGCGAGATCAGATGGAACGGATGCGGTAGTTGCCAACTACCAACTGGGAAGAAAATAATCTATTCCAGCCACCCAGAGGACAATCACAAGAACGCCGAGGGAGTGGCCATTATGATGTCACCAACAGCAGCCAAAGCTCTCATGTAGTGGGAACCTATCTCCTCCAGGATAATGACAGCCAGGTTCAACTCAAAAGGAAGGAAGGTTACAATCATCCAATGCTATGCGCCTACAAACGTCTCAGAACAAGAATAGGAGGCTTTCTACAGATAGCTACAAACAATCATGGACAACGTCTCAAATGGCGATATCAAAACCCTGATGAGCGACATGAATGCGAAGCTGGGAGGAGACAAAACAGGAAGAGAACTCACCATGGGTCGTGAGGCCCTCGGTGAAATGAACGACAATGGGGAACTCTTCTCAGACTTCTGCGCCTTCAATGATTTGGTGATTGGTAGCAGTGTGTTCAAACACAAGGATATTCACAAAGCGATATGGATTTCACCAGATGGAAACAACAAAAACCAGATAGACTTCATCTCAATTTCAAGAAAGTGGAGACGGAGCCTACTGGACACAAGGTCGAGGAGAGGAGCAGATGTGGATTCAGACCACTATCTAGTACAAGGGACTTTCAAGGTGAAGCTAAAACCCTCGAGGATAGCTGCGGATAGGTCACAATGCAAGTTCAACACTCAATTACTGAAGGACACAACCACAAAAGACACTTTCACTGCAACTGTCAGAGCGAAGCAGGAAACACTACGTGACATCACTGAAGCATCATGCGTGGAAGAACATTGGAAGTCTCTGAAGGCGATTCTCAACGAAACGTGTTCAACGGTTCTAGGAAGAAAGAAGAGACAAGACAAGGAATGGCTCTCAACGGGCACTCGGAAGCTAATAGAAGAGAGGAGAATGGTGAAAGAGAAAATGATTCAATGCAAAGACGGACAAGAGAAAAGACGCTGAGCTAAACTTACACAGCACTGGACAAAGAAGTGAAGAAGAGTGCTAGGAAGGACAAAAGACGATTCTACGACAACCTGGCCACTGAAGCTGAGAAGGCAGCAGGCGAAAGGGAGCTAAGGACACTATATCAGATAACCAAGTCTCTATCCGGGAAGAGACCAACACAAGCGAAACCTATAAAAGACAGCCATGGTAACCCAATTGCCAAGGAAGAAAGACAGATTAAACAATGGGTGAATCACTTCAAAGGAAACTTGAACCGACCACCACCTGCAACCCGTCCAGAAATACCAGCAACAGCACGTACACAACTGCATGTTGATACCAATCCTCCGACGAAAGCTGAAATCTTGAATACAATCAAGCTTCTGAAAGCTGGAATAATAGCTGGACCAGATGGAATACCCCCTGAAGCACTGGAAGCGGACCCAGAGACGACAGCAGATATGCTGACTCAATTATTGCAAAAGGTCTAGAAAGAGGGAAAGATGCCTACTGACTGGAGGAAAGGTTACCTCGTGAAACTACCAAAGAAGGGCGACTAAGGACTCTGCAAGAACTCGCGAGGAATCATGCTCCTATCGACGCCAAGTAAAATCCTGAGTCGCATCATCCTGGAGAGAATTAAAGACGCAGTGGATACAGAACTCCGACCAGAAAAAACTGGATTCAGGAAAGGCAAATCATGTTCTGACCAAATCGCAACTCATCATCGAACAAAGCTATGGAATGGCAAACAAACCTCTACCTCAACTTTATAGACTTTGAGAAGGCCTTCGAACAGCGTTGACCGCGAAGTAATTTGGAAACTACTCGAGTACTACAGCGTACAGTGCCCAAATATTCATCAACCTTATTCAACAGCTGTACGACAACGGCCCATGTCAAGTGATCCACAACGGAAAACTCAGCGAGGCGTTTGGAGTAAACACAGAAGTCAGAGAAGGGTGCTTATTATCACCAATGATATTCCTAATTGTGGTGGACTGACTAGATTATGCGTCAGACAGTGGGAAACGAGAAAACAGGGATTTCTTGGACCGACGTGAAGAACCTAGAAGACCTGGATTTCGCGCGTGGAAGATTTATGCTTGATGTCACTGTCAAAAAATCGAAGAATTACAAGCGAAAGCCGACAAACTGGTCGAAGAAGCAGCCGGGGTAGACAGGACTCCAGGTGAACATAGACAAGATGGAGGTTATGAAAATAACCAGCCAGCAACAACTTTAGTAACATCCAGTGCCAATCACCATCAACGGGAGAGATTTGAAAGAGGTCACTTCATTCACTTATCTAGGGAGCATTGTCTCAACTACAGGAGGAACGGACGAGGGTGTCAAATCGAGCGAGAATCGGGAAGGCAAGAAACACATTCATCAACCTGAAGCCAATCTGGAAATCTTCGTCACTCAGCATCGACAACAAAATTCAGTCGGATTTTCAATACAAACGAGTCAAGTCAGTCAGTTCTTCTATACGGATCAGAAACTTGGCGGGCAGGTCACAAAGAATACTTCCAACAGCCTGTTGCAGACCTTTATCAATAACTAACTGTCTTCGCTCTATACTGAAGATCAGATGGCCGTGGCGGAAAGAATCACCAACAACAAGAAACTATGGTCACAAACAAACAAAACAAGAACCAATCGCCAACCAACGAATATTGAGGAGAAAGTGGAGATGGATTGGACACTCGCTGAGGAGGTCGCTAGGTGACATCGCGCGCGCGTCAGGCCATTGCTCGTGTGGAACCCGAAAGGGAAGTGGCGAGTGGGTCTTCAGTGCAAGGGTGACATGGAGGAGATTGTGTGAGGAGGAGTTGAAAGAGTATGGACTAACATGGATGCAGGTGAAAAGTACAGCAGAAGACAGAAGCAAGTGGAGACGTGCAGTTGAAGCCCTATGTTCCACTAGGAACCCAAGGAAACAATAATAATAAAAAAAAGTAAGATATCTCACTGTTACAAAAATTCTATTTATGAAACAGTAGAAAAAGTTAGTTAAATTATTTCACCTAGGTAATATGCAACAGAGAGAAAATAAATAAATGTAATAGTAATATGAGTACGAATACGAATACAACAATATAGTAAGAATATTGAGTATTATGCAGATAGATGTATAGGGCGTTTATCAACTGATATATTTAGGTCAATAATTTATTTACTTATACGATAATTAAAGAAGTTTAGTTTGAAAGTACAATACATTCCACCTATCCTTTAATTTACTTGAATAAATGCGGATTTAAATTTCAATGCACTCAGCAAGTTCAGATATTAACACTAAAAATAGGTCAAAATGATATATAAATATATATACAACATTATTTATTCAACTTACCTTTGAAATGAGCTGAAAGGAATAAGATTGATGTCCCAAAAAGTATAAAACAGATAGCTACCGCCCCTTTAGTTCTTACAGCAGCCGTAGTTGTTACTCCAACTGACTGAGGCACTAGAAGAAAATTATGAATCGGTTAGTACAAATTAAAGGAAATCAAAGATAGTAAATACTAATGAAAGCTAGAAAAAACAGGTCAGTTAAACTGATCACCCAATGTTGAGCAATGTATCTATCTAGTCATAAGTGTATTGAGCGAAGTCTGTTGACACTGTGAATTCAGTGTAGTTATTTGGAACACTAGTGGTCTAAATGTTTCTAAGTTTACTAAATTTGTTTTCCTTTCCTGTTTTAACCTAATTCTGGAAATAACTGATAACCCATATTTATCTTTTCTCCCCCCAAGAACTTTCTGTTGATTATGTCTCTCCCGCTCCAATTTTAAATTTCAGCAACATTTTCTGGTTAATGCTTGTACTCAAAGTTCTAGATTATTTATACTGACCGAGTTGGAGCGTTCGTTAGTGCTATGTTGATTTTAACATAAAATTTTAATGAACAGCCAGTGACGAGTCAACCAATGAATGACTGTTTGGCTTTGAAATGGATTTATAGATTCGACACTGCGAACAACCTTTTTTTCAAAGGAACAACTAATCGTCTATTTATTCAGAAGAAGTATTACCCAACTAAACTGTGAGATATCTCCATGTTCATAAAATAGGGAAAAAGGTTTTCGATATTTAAAACACTTTCTCAAATAAAATGCTTAGAAACAACCAAAGTTTCACAAATATTTCAGTAAATGTAAATTTAAATATTCTATATGAATCTAGTGAAGTTATGATTCTCTGTTTATCTCAGTGATCATTAGTTAATTCTTTCAGATCTTACATTAGCGAGGAATTCTGCTGATTTCAAAGAATAATCTGTTTTGTTGTCATAAGAGTTGGAAAATGACTGAGGAGCAATGAGTATTCTGTCACTTTCTTCACCTTTCTGGGAACTCTTCCGCAGAACATACTCGTATTTTCAATTGCACTATTAGAGGCATTTAATGATAACTGGTGACTAGATCACACATAGATTTCTTAAGTTTAGTAAAACATTTGTGACAACTGGGAATAGTTACTCGCCGGTTTTTTGGATAGTGATAGCATTAGGCCATACGCTGATAAAAATCAGAAACTATGGGTCACTAAGTTCTGATTCAGTTACTCAGTAGTAACCTGCCTAGATGAAAAACTAGTGATTTTTAATTTAGGCCCTCCCATGAGTACTGCTAATCTATTATGAAGTGCTCCTAAGTTGGTGAGGATTAATATTAAAATATACCTCCCATTTAGTTCTTTCCCCTTACATTCAATCATATCAGGCTATTCAAGACATTTTATCCTATCTTTTAGCTTATATTTATCATTAGTATCGCGGAAAAGTACATTAGTGGTCCTTTGGGACAGTAATAATTGCGAAGGAAATTGGGTCTGAGTTAAATGAAAATTGTGCTGAAAAAAATTCCATAAAGTTATTAAAATAGAATAATTTAACTGGTAACTATATGAGGATTTAACATAAGTTTTCTGCATTTGCTCAGAGATTTCAAAAGGAAGATCTTAAACATATTTTATGAAAGAATATTCCACATTAAAATCGTCATTTCGATTGATTCTGGAGAGCTAAAGAGGTTATGTATTAATGAGAATTACTATAAGTTTCTAGTCAGCATACTGCAAAATAATGAGGTTAAAGCATACAGTCATATTTACGACTGCATCTTCAATAATGCTTACTTTCGTCCAAAAGCTTTTATTTTTCGTACTTTTTCCGAGAATTAGTCATACTGAAATAGAATCTTCGTATAAACTTAATATTAAAATATAAATATGCACTGTATCAAACAGCAACTAATGCATATGTGTGAAAAAAACACCTATGAAAGTACAAGACTCGTCTTAATCACTAATTAAAATAGAAATCGTCTACTAGATCTTTAAATGTACTCTATTCCTTTTTCATTCATTGGGAAGGCAGCGATGATTGTTTCAATACTTAGGAAAAACAATGTCCAAACTAGAAAAATGTCAAAGTATTTTTAATATAAGTGACAAAATTAAAAACAGATAGCTAATAAAATTCCTACTTACCTGATGTATACCATATTAGGTCACGGTTTAGAAATATCATTAACGCTAATGTTCCATGAGTTGCATAGGTAAACAGAACATGTTTAATTCCAATGGCTGCTTGTAACCGAATAAGGAGTTCATTTCTGTGAATAATAAAATAAATTTCCGTAGGAATTTTCAGCTGAAAAACAACCCTTAACAAAATGAAAGCTAACTAGACTTCGTTTTTAATTTCAGGGAATAAAAAAAGCTTGTTTTTAGAATACAGTAGGTGAATTTAAGCGATTAAAACGTTCAGAGATATGATAACTCTTCTTCTTCTTCTACACCAAATTTTCGTTATAACTGACTGGGTGAGGTGTGTCTATAAAACTTACGATAATTAGAGTATGATTTCGTGAAGTGAGTAAAGAAATAAGATGTTACAATTAGGTCAGACTGAGGTAAAAACGTATCAGCAAGGCAACCTGAGACGGAGAACTCAAGGTAATTTAACACAGATTCTTACAATTACGAATATACCAGACATCGCCTGCAACTGTGTCGGGTGACGAAGGTTTGTAGATATATTAACTCACGCAATCACACTAAGCACTCATTAATAAACGTTGCTTTATTCGTAGCTTACTGAGTACATTAGAAGAACATTTTACCTGTCATAATGTTTTGCCCTGAAGCATTACGCTTAACAGTTATTCAATAGGAAACCTATATAGAAAATGCACGGGGGGGAATCAATGGGGCTGAAAAAAAGGATAAATAATTGTACATATTCCAGTTTACAGCTCGTAGTAGAAGGGATTTCTAACAACTAAACACATTGAGCACTACTGTAAACTATGACTGTATTCAGTAACATAAAAACTAACAAAATATTCAACTACAAAGACTCACTTATCGGATGAACATTCTTGTATACATACAGCATAAATGCTTGCAGACTCTTGGGAAGTTCCACTGAAGAAGAGATCCCCCAAGTCTTCAGGATAATACTTTTCTATAAACTTAGTGAAAGGATTTGCATTTTACTTGAGGCTTCGCTGACGACATATTCCAGGTGACAACTTGAATCTCAATGCTACCTCCTGGAATCATTTTGTTAAGCTCCTTAGTCCCCAATAATGAGCCAGCCCCTCCAGCTATACTGCCAACTAGATAATTTCTACTTGGTAAGGAAATTCCAGAGCACACCTACTTGGTGGTTAATTCACTTTTTGTTGTTGTACATGATGAAACAAGTGATGCAATACTTTCTGAGGGCCGAAGTTTATAACCACAAGAGACATTTGAACTTTCATCCATAGCTTCTGCTGATGGAACCTCTAACTCGATCTTGAGGCTTGGTGAGCAGTCCATATTGGATTCCATCTGCTCATACAAACAAGTTAACTTAGAGTAAATTCCAGGACTGGCATAGTTTATTTGCCCAACCTGATGTTCGATGTTATTTTATAGAGTGCACTCTTTCTTGTAGTTTAGGCCTCAAAAGTTTAGTGCAGTAAAACAAATGTTTCAGGAGTGATGGTCAAAGGCTACTCTCAGGGATTCTTTTGATAAACCTTCTCTCAGAAATGATGAAAAAAGTATAGTAGACATATTTTAACTTCGATATGGATGAACCCAAATCACCCTAATAGTGTGGTGAGAGCAAGCTGCTAGCCGATTGGTTGACACTAATCTACGTTAATGTCTAGGTCACTAATATGGGCCGTGAGAAAATATGAACAAGGCTGTTTCAACAACCAATCACAGCAAACTTAAATGTGGACAAATATGATTCGCAGATAGATGGCTCTACTTTCCGAGAAATATCGAAAACAACCAATCATAAGACTGTGTTTGTCTGCTTAACTTCCGAGAAACAACCAATCAGAAGACTGCCTTTTTCTGCTTGCATAAGCCTTATTAATGCACCTAAAATATATATAAATACGTGTTGATTTTCGTAATAAAACGATCTGTTGCCAGCCCTTGTCTTCTGTTGTTACATTTGGTGTCGCTGCCTCCAAAAAGATGAAGATCCCGTGGCCAGCTGCGTTTGAAGAAGGAGACATACGGAGCTTCTTACGTGACTTCGAGGCCGTTGCTGAGCTGGTGGGTGTCAAGGAGCAGGCGGCGAAGGCAGTTGTCCTGGGGACGCTGTTGAGAGGCCGAGCGAAGGCTGCATATGACAGCGTAGACAGGTCAAATGGCACAGCGTCTTGGAAGAAATTGGTTGAACGACTAGTGTCCGAGTTTGACAGCGAAACAGACAGACAGCTAGCAATGCAGCAGTTCCGGTCAATGAAGCTTGGACCTGATGGAGACCCGCTAGTGTTGGCGGTGAAACTGACTAATCTACTTCGACGCGCGCTTCCCACTTTAGATGAAGAATCAGAAGCGCAGTTACTGTCTTCCCAATTCATCGAGAGTGTCCCAGACCACATTTCTCAGCGATTACAACTGGTTAACGCAACGCAGCCGATGGATATTAGTGAGCTGGCGAAGGTGACCAGACAGCTGCTGAGCACAACGGTAGCCGCTATAGACCAACCAAAACCAAACGAATATGAGCAGAAAATTGAAGCATTGCAGCGGGAAGTGGCGGCGTTAAAGTTGGCTGATAGAAAAGACCGGTGTTTTGAATGCGGTAAGCCGGGACACTGGAGAAGATACTGCCCAGAAAGGCGAAAAAGAAAAAATTTCAGACGGTATAATGCTTGTTCTTTCTTTCGTATGAACCTAGATTTAGTGGGGGCTATTGAGAAAGGGGCTCTGTATTCGAAGTTGCGAGTGAATGATCGAGAAGTAGTATGTTTGATAGATACAGGGGCGGCCGTGTCGTTAATAGATAAGAATTTATGTAAGAGTGTTAGCCCGTGTTCATTGACAGTACAAACAGTAGGCGGGTATGTGTTGCGTATCACGGGTAGATCGAACTGTACGGTCGTTGTTGGTGGCTGCGAGGTGACGTTTCCTTTCATTGTTGTACCCGAACTACAGCGAACGATATTAGGAGCGGATTTTCTGCGTGAGATTGGTGCAATAATCGACACGCAAGCGAACGTGGTGATCACGAAATACGGGCATATCAACATGTATGAGACCAGCGAGATAGCAGCGATTAAGCTGTCGACGGTACACAATGTGACAGAGTTAATTAATAAATACGATCATCTGTTCACTGGAGATGGCGACCCATACGGTTATTGCGATAAGGTGAATCATGAAATTCCGTTAAGTGATCCGAAAGTAAGGTCATTTTTAACGCGAAGAGTTCCATGTCATCTGGAAGGCGAAGTGGAGCGACAAGTGCAAGAGATGTTAAAAGATGACATTATTGAGGAAGCTGATAGCCCGTACAACTCTCCAGTGCTGTTAGTAAAAAAAGCGAATGGGAAGTATAGATTCTGTGTTGATTTTCGACAGTTAAACAGTATGACAGAGTTAAGACCGTGTGCCATGCCAACAGTGGTAGAAACTTTAGATCGCCTACAAGGTGCGAATGTGTTTTCGGTTCTCGATCTTCGCTCAGGATACTGGCAGATACCGATAAAACAAGGTGATAGAGATAAGACGGCTTTCATCGTGGGTCAGACACAATATCGATTTAAACGCATGCCGTTTGGACTAGCAGGTGCACCGTTTACGTTCAGACGACTGATGAAGCTATTACTTAGGAACTTGAAAAACGTGGAGGTTTATGGTGATGATCTCGTCATATACAGTCAAAACGAAAACGATCACGTCAACCATGTAGAAGCCGTGCTGCGACGCATCGAAGAGTTTGGACTACGCGTCAACAAAACCAAGTCTCAGATAGCCAAAAAGAATGTTACTCTGTTGGGACATAAAGTGGGAAATGGTGAGATTAAACCACTGCCGGAGAAAATTTTGACGATTAAAACGATTCCAGCCCCGAATTCAAAGAGAAAACTGAGACAATTCTTGGGTAGAGCAGCGTTTTATAGTCGCTTCGTGAAGAACTTCAATGAGATAGCAGCCCCTCTATACAGGCTACTAGGTGAGCCAAAGTTTGTTTGGTCGGAAGAATCGCAGAGGACATTCGACAGAATTAAACAGCTGCTCGACCACCAACAAATGACGCTAAAACTACCTGTACCAGGAAGACAGTTCACAGTGTGCACAGATGCCAGTGACTACGCTATAGGTGCGGTCCTAAGACAGGACGAGGGAATCGTTGAGTATGCCAGTAGGGTTTTGACCCTCACAGAGAGAAAGTATTCAACGATAGAGAAAGAATGTTTAGCAATGGTATGGGCAGTCGACAAATGGAGACCTTATTTACTCGGCCGGCGGTTCCACATCGAAACTGATCATAAGCCGCTACAATTTTTGAAGACAGCGAGAGACCCACGGGGGAAGTTGTCACGGTGGATGTTGCGTCTTCAGGAGTACGATTTTACGATCTCACACGTTCCTGGAAGTGAAAATGTCTTGGCAGATTTGTTATCGAGACCAGAAGATGAGTCTGAGTTGCCCGAGGTCGCTTACGGAGTGCATGCAGTAGAACAAGACCCACTAAGACTTGCACGTAGGCAGAGGTTGGACGATACGCTGAATACAGTAATACAGGTGATCACCAACGGAATAGAAGTGGATCAAACTACGGCGAGTAAGGAGCTAACCACACTACTCAGACAGAGGGATCGACTCAGAGTGAATGCCTACGGGACTCTGACCTGGCGAGAGAACGACGGAAGCTGGCTGGCTGTCATACCTCAATCGTCGCGCCACGACATGATAGAAGAATGTCACCAGCTAGCGCATACAGGCGTGGCCAGAACGACCGACCTCCTAAGACAAAGTATGTACTGGCCAGGTATGAGAGAAGACGTAGCAAGATACGTACTTGGATGTCCACGGTGCCAGCTGATGAAAGGTGACCGGTATATACGACCACCACTTCAGTCGATTCCAGTTACCGCGATAGGTGACTTGTGGTCCGTAGATGTCATGGGTCCATTTCCTCAGACATCCAATGGTAATCAGTACCTCTTGGTGATGACGGAACACGCGACACGATGGGTAGACGCCGTAGCAATCCCAGACCAACGTGCAAGAACCGTGACAGATGCAGTAGTTAGACACATTGTTGCAGACCACGGCGTACCGAAGACAATACTGACAGACCAAGGTCCCTGTTTCGAGAGTGAAGAGTTTACTTCCCGTTTGCAACAGCTGGGCATCAAGAGGATCAGAACGACCCCATACCATCCACAAACGAATGGCCTAACGGAGAGAAACAACCGTACACTGAAGGAGTGGCTGGCCTCGAAGGGCGGGAACTGGGAAACGGAGCTTCCACTGATTTTACTAACACATCGGGCTACCACTCAGGAAACAACGAAGAAGTCACCCTTCCAACTGATGTATGGTAGAAAACCACGATTACCGGTACACAATGAGACCTGGCCCATGCACCAAAAGTGGAGTACGACGAAATTAAAAGCAGAGAGGAAAGAGGCAGTCAAGAATGTAATACGGAAGCAGCGCAGTGATGTCGCGAAGTCTCAGATGAAAGAAAGGACGCAGTGCATTACCTTTGCAGTCGGGGACCAAGTGAAGTGTAGAGACAGGAGATATACAGTTGGAGGCGGGCTAGGTTCACGGAAACTCCTTCCAAAGTGGGAAGGACCATACACAATCACAAAAAGACGGGGTCAAGTATATACCATCCGAAGAGGTGATAAACAGAAACGAGTTAACGCCAGTCAGCTCCAAAGATGGGTACAGTGGGACAAGCCGGTCAGTAACAATCCTCAACTAGAGGATGTAGCACCCAGAAGGTCGGAACGTCTGCGCACGAAGCTATTTGACGGGGGGACGAGTGTGGTGAGAGCAGGCTGCTAGCCGATTGGTTGACACTAATCTACGTTAATGTCTAGGTCACTAATATGGGCCGTGAGAAAATATGAACAAGGCTGTTTCAACAACCAATCACAGCAAACTTAAATGTGGACAAATATGATTCGCAGATAGATGGCTCTACTTTCCGAGAAATATCGAAAACAACCAATCATAAGACTGTGTTTGTCTGCTTAACTTCCGAGAAACAACCAATCAGAAGACTGCCTTTTTCTGCTTGCATAAGCCTTATTAATGCACCTAAAATATATATAAATACGTGTTGATTTTCGTAATAAAACGATCTGTTGCCAGCCCTTGTCTTCTGTTGTTACATTTGGTGTCGCTGCCTCCAAAAAGATGAAGATCCCGTGGCCAGCTGCGTTTGAAGAAGGAGACATACGGAGCTTCTTACGTGACTTCGAGGCCGTTGCTGAGCTGGTGGGTGTCAAGGAGCAGGCGGCGAAGGCAGTTGTCCTGGGGACGCTGTTGAGAGGCCGAGCGAAGGCTGCATATGACAGCGTAGACAGGTCAAATGGCACAGCGTCTTGGAAGAAATTGGTTGAACGACTAGTGTCCGAGTTTGACAGCGAAACAGACAGACAGCTAGCAATGCAGCAGTTCCGGTCAATGAAGCTTGGACCTGATGGAGACCCGCTAGTGTTGGCGGTGAAACTGACTAATCTACTTCGACGCGCGCTTCCCACTTTAGATG